ATGTCCTCCAACCGCGTGCCTGGTATGAACTCAAATTGGTCACATCACGATCAGTTACCGATGGCGCGGCTCAATAACTGACAGTCGCTCGTTTTGGAACACACTTGCGCATTCCGCGCTCGACTGGAGTCGGCTCTCCCTTCGTCTTCCAGGGCTGTGTAAGGTGCGGACAAATCACTTGGCAACTGAAAGACTGGCAGATTCGAATGTTAGACGAATTTGCCAAAATCGTCCCCTAGTATCTCTTCCAAAGGTTCCACCATCAGATACGAAATCATACTGAGACGAGATTGCTACCTCTTTGCATAGTGCTAGGAATTTCGCCTGTGGCACGGCACCACCAGACTCACTCAAGTACTGGATAATAGACCGAACCATGACACTGCTTAAATCCTGGAGAAATATCCCAGCCCGCCGGAACATAACTTGATGCGACGAACTATCAGAAGTCAAGTGAAAGTGAGCCGACCGTGAACACAGAAAGCCAAAAAATGGAAGAGACCCAGGAAGCCGGTAATGCACAGAAAGTCAAAAAATGGAAGAGACCCAGGAAGCCGGCAATGCCCGAAGGTTATTTCAGTTGATCCGTGCGACCGGACCCCGGAAACAACTTGTGAGTGAAACCATCGAGGATCGGAACGGAGTGACCATCTCGAAAAACACCTGGGTCGTGGGGCCGCAAACTTCGAACAACTGTTTTCATGGCCACTAGCTGGCTTCCATCTGAAGCCCACAAGCGACTTAAAGTCCTGGAAGGTGAACGTGAAATCGCCTACGGCCTCGGAGGTTTATGAATGCATATTTTCCTCTCAAGCGTCCCGAGATCCTGGTCCGGATGACCTCCCACCCGCATTGTTCAAAGATGGGGGTGAAGTCCTCATTCAGCGCTTGTCTGATCTGTTTGCCTGCATTTGGGAAAAAGAAACTGAGGTGAATCAATGAAAGTGTCCATTTTAAAAAAAGGCTCGTAGTGAGTGTGGTAACCACAGAGGGATCCGTAACGAGACTGTTGGCGTCATTCGTGCTCCGTCGCCTTATGATAGCTCATCAAACACTGACTCGAGAGCAGTAAATGGAGTTCAGGCCTGATAGGGGTTGCGCTGACCAATTCTTCACACTGTCAGGTCGTAGGACAGCGCCATACGGTTGACCGGCCAGTTCTCCTTGACATCCCTGACCATCAAGGAATGCCCCAGAAGTTTGAGAGCATAATACGTTCTTCGTATTCTCAAACTTCTGGACGTGTGAGTATACAAAAAGTCATCCAAAAGCTTCCGTAGACATTGTGGTGTCCGTCAGGAGTGCCCACTTTAACCATTGTTATTCGATTTCGTAATCGATAGGATAATGAAACGAACATTGGAAGGTCTCCGGAACCCCGGTGTTCCGATGACTTGTGACGAAAACCTCGTTGGTCTGGAATATCCAGACGATATCGTTCATGTTTTCAAAGAGAAGGAGCAGATGTTTTGGATGAACTCACCATAGTCATCCCTGCCTTTGGTATGCACATTGCATCCACAAAGTGTCAGGTTATGCTCCCGGAAATGCAGTCACTTAACACGCCACTTACAAACCAGTGAGGCATTCGAGGCTAAGGAGAGTTTTACATACCCTGGAAGTTGTATTAATTATGACTGTAGTGTGACGGATAAGGTCAATGCATAAATCTCCAACACTCGGCTCGCGTTTGCTAATTTGAGATACCTGTGTCAAGGCGGTATATCCCTTAATCTCAAGGGACATGTGCATCGGGCTACAGTACGGGCTGATTTGTTTTATGGTGGTGAGACTTGGTCTGTTCGAGCAGGGGAACTGAGACGTCTTCAGGTGTTGGACACTCGTTATCCCAGGACCTTAGGTCATGAGGACTGGTGTCGGCGAACCCCTAACGAGGCAATTAGAGAGCAATTTTTCGCTTGTTCAATAGGTATTTCCATTGAAGAATGTGTCCAGCACCAGAAGCTACGTTGTTGGGCCATTTATTGCATAAGCCAATCCATCGTTTGCCGAAGAGTGTTGCTTTCCGTGTCCAATTTAGACTGATATCAGATGCGGGCAGGAGCTTGGACACCAGACCATAGACTAGTTGCATACTTCATCAGTAGCATACACTTTTCACGAATGTGGGGTGGTGGACATACAGCGGAAGATAGACAGCCGGTGTCTGGCTAATACTAGGTTCTGTTGGTTAATATATACCGTAGCTAACGCACTGATCAATATTACAGCAGAGTGGCAAAAATATGTACACGCATCGCTTCCGTTTAAACAGTCCTCGCGTCCTGGCGTAATCATTCCGGATAATTCACATAGGGTTGTAATCATTACCCTACACATACAAGAATGAGCGAACAAGCAACTCTGCTATGGCTTACGATCAGTCGCAAACATACATCACAGGGTATAGTTGATAATTGGTTGCTTGAACAACCTCAGAAAACAAAAAATTCACTACCGAAGGATAAAACTACTTTAATCGACATGCCTCCAGTACCAACAAGACGGAGATGGGAGAAAATCATCCAAAAGCTTCTACCTGAACTATAAAATGCTGCACATACATAGTTAGAATGGTAGAATATCAGGAAGGACCGTTTTGCTCCTGAGTAGCAGGTTTACCAACTCTTCGAAGTATTCTAATAACTATCGGTTAACTGGTTATGCCAGACCTTTCTTATTGGCTACCAACAAAATACGTTGGTCGGACACATGCACTGTTAGAGAAGAGTTTTAATTCATCTACCTTTAGATGAACTCATTACGAGTCTCACGCAATTTCCGGACACTCAACACCGGAAAGTTGGGTCTGCTTGCTTAGACCAGAAAAAACAAGTCAATTCTGTTTGTCGTAAAATTTCAACCCGGTTGTTTCCAATTTTACGTTCTCTGGATAATTTTGGAAACTAGAGTCAGACAGAAGTAGACGTTCATTTGTCTACAAAGTAAACTGCTCCTAAAAATAGCGCCCCGGAATTCACGTTTTGTAAGAAGGATCGGCACACAATTTTGCCGGATACATCCAACTTTTCCCGAATCAGCGATCGTACTGAGCAGGTCGATACCGACGCATCGGTCGACCATCAATAATATAAAATAACGGATATGCGCAGTTCAACATTTCAACCACATAAAACACAAGCTTCTGGCAATTCTTGGAACGATACAGCAGAATATGTCAATAGAAAGCACAGAGTTTCTTGACGGAACTCGAATCCAACAATATCCTCGTGATATCCACACCGGCTGTTAGAATGTAGATGGTCGTATGCCTCCTATCTAAAGTCAGTTGCAAGCAGCTCTGCATGGAACTTAAAGGGTGCTGATTGCGAAAATATTTCAAATTAACAGATCATAGTGGGATGTTTCCTGAGCAACGCAAAAGGGTAAAAGTCAGCACTGACTTGTTGACCGAATTCTGGTATCTTATCCACAGTTTGTGCCTTTTTTGTCCTCTACATCTTTACGCCACCAAATAGAACCTAACTTAATCTATCACGGTTGTCCAGCTGTAGCACCCTTTCGGTGCTTAGCTGCCATGCCACACGAAGGAGGCAAGAGGGCTGAGATACTGTCAGGTTGCCCAAGCCTAGACAGGGGAAGTCGAATGGCAGAGGTCGGGTTCGAACCACGGACCTTCTGATCAGCAAATTCGCGCTCTAACCACTTGAACCATCTAGCCTCCCAATCCATCACAGTGGCGGTTTGATGACAAGCGCTGAAGTAGTTTACGCAAACGCTGAATAACATAGTCCGATATATGACTGAGGAACACTACGTCTCGCGATAGATACACTTGTATTGAAGCACCGAAAATTCGCATACAAAAGACCACAAAATGGTCCACAAAGGAGTTCGGGAAGGATTATGTTTCCTCAGATCATCTACATAGAAAGAATGGACATAAAAGACTCCGTATCGTTCCGCATTTACACAAATTTTCCCTAGCTGCACGATAGACCTAAGAGATGTAATCTTCTCTCCGAAAACGTCAGAGAGCCTGTTTAGAATTCCATCTAGTATGCCTATGTCGCCGGTCACATACTCTAACCAGCATGAACAAACAACGAAGTGACGAATCAAGAATCGACGAGCCAATCCAGTTATTCGACAAGCAAGTTGGTTATTCAAAAAGTTGACAACTTTCCACCGTAGAACAGTAGTAACGAAGTGGGTCGTATATTACGGCCGACCAAACAACAAAGTCCGCATCCGACTGAGAGATAATTACTAATAACATGGAATAAATAGACAGCCAAGTCAACAGTAAATCGGATACACCACACTACCCGAGAACAAGGTCCAACAACAGCGACAACCTATAGGGACTTGAAAACTAATATCAGTGACGAGTGGTCACGAAAAACTAGTATAGGGGGTGACATGCGATGAGCTTTGATCTCGTTTGCCTGCGCCCGTAGGAATGTCAGGTTCTTCATGAGGGATCAATGTGCATGTTTAAGCCATCTCAGACAAGGCACTGCACACGGATTGCGGTACCGATTAGAAAATGGATAAAGCTCCCGTTGGAAAGCTGAGACTCAGCAGTGGAATGTCAGTCATCAAAGCGACCACTAAATTGTCCTACCTGGAAATCCCAACCACGTTCGAACCTAACCCTGGAGTCCTTCTTGAGCCCGTATAAAATTAGCGGTCTCATCCCCCATGTCCCTTGCGGGGTTGCACAGTAGCTATGTAAGGGATATCCAATGTTAAATCCTTGACGCTGGATTCAGACTAGCAGCCACCTTAAGAAAATTATTCAATGTTTCCTTGGAAAATAGAATCGTGCAGCGACCTACAAGGAATCAGATAGCACTGGTGCCAAGACTGGTAGGTAGAGGCCGGAAATTTCTGAAGCACTAAGCGGAAAAGAATTAACAACGGGCGGTCCGATATGGTAGACTTTCGCGAGTGGGTAAGCAGAATTTGGGACAGAAACCAGTAAATTTGAGTCAAACATTTCAAAACAATGACTATCATTTATTAGACAATGGGTTTGGAGACATGAACAACCAAGTGTGTGACCGTGTTTAGGCGAGACAGAGTTAGACATGGGAAGATCAAAACACTTGGAACAACAAATTAAAAACCAAATAATGAATGAATGAAAACGGGAGGATATCATCATGGCAAGAAAAAACTCTTGTCGAAAACAACCATTGCTGAATGGTGGACAGAACAGAACCACCACCAGCAATGTTAATTGAAAGGCTTGTGGATTGTGCGGTTCGTTAGTGGGATGAGGAGCGAGCAAGCGAACTGGAACAGAAATAAGAGAACTGATTGGTATTTGCGTAATATGAGTAGACTAAATAAATAACGAATAACCTCACAGTTTCCGAGAGGTTCCCAAAGGAGATTCTTTCTGTCAGCACAAAGTGTAAAAAAACCGAATGGGGAAAAAGGTCTGATCCATTCGCTTAGGCCGGTGAATTGGAATATGTACATTGTAGAAGAGATCAAGCATCGACAACCATTGAGAGGAATGAAACCGGGTGTATGGGTGGTCCCCTTGGGACCAGCAGATGCAACTGTACAAAATAATCAAGCAGTGAGTAGAAAACACTTCATAAATTGCACCGATGGCTAAGCAGTTGGCGGTTTAGAACTCATTAATACAACAGCATCAGACTGAAGTCATCACAACGGGCATGTTATCAGTCTTTTTCGCATCTCTTGCGGACGGGCTAGTTGTCGTTTGGCATCCAAATTCCTCACTATCAATTGTTTCGGGAATTTTCATGAGCTCTGTAATAAGATCATCGACTGCCGAAACGGCAGATTGCAACAAGCTGGAACGTTCCGTATCGGTTTTCTTAGAACGGAGCAGATCACTCATCTGCTGCAGCGGAGCATACCGGTCACGGAAACTAAATTTTGCTCGCGCAGGACACGTAGCCTGATCGATAAACTCGGAACAGTTCACCCGACAGGCTTCCAGCTGATCTGCCACTGCTATAAGTTGTTCCACTTCCGAGGCGAAACCATTGGGATTTGGCACTGAAGACTTGAGACGAGCTAGCGTGTTGGATATGTTCAGGAGTTGGGTGAGAATGGACTTGCGAGTAGGGGTGGATGAAAGTGTATTCACTTCAACCGTATCTAGTGCTGTAGATGATGTGGATAGAATTGTAGGTAAACAGAACCTTTGGGCACGTTGAGTGGACAGGGAAGAATCGCCAGATTGGTATACAGCGGGTCCTGTCCAGCTAAGTCGTTTTTTGTTAGATTTGGAGGCCACCCAGGAGTTACAAACCTTGTGATTACGTAATGTTGGTACAGGAGGCGTCGGACTAATCAGGGAAGTCTGTTCGACTACCGCGGGTATCCGGGATGAACAAACCACTTGGGCAGGGGTCTCGGAAGGGAGAATTTTGGATGACGAGGAGTCGGTAGCAGTTTCAGCGACGGCTTGCTGATCTTGTCCAGTCGTCGAGCGGTGCGTGTGTGCTGTCCTTAATCGAGGCAGCGTGAAGAACCCGGAAGAAGTAGTAACAGAGGCTTCAAGCGCGGGCTCACTGAGTTTTCCATTGGATACATTAAGTGCAGGCTTCGTTGGGCTTTTTTGAGGACGAGCACGGTTTGATTTCCGCATCTCTTCTGTAGCATCATCTTGGTTTTGTGACTGCAACTGCAAGCGTTGTCTGAGTTCGTCGTGGAAATCGGCCGATGGGACGGGAATAACCGTTGGGCGACGGATAGGGGACTGCTTTGTGTCAAGTGAACTAGAATTTGTCGTGGATGGAAACAGACGAGAGCTATTTATCTCTGTTTTCAAGATTGGTCTTCCGGCGTTAGATTCACTGAAATGTCGTGTTTGGGTGGGACTCTTACTTTTATCATGTAAGCCGGATGAATCAGAAACGCAAGGTTTTTGTCCGATAGCCTTTGAAGACCAGCTCGACGGTTGACTGACAAGGCGGGTTTTAGTAATACAGCTCAAATATGAAAGACAGGAAGGGCGAGCGGGTTTCGTGCATGAGGAATCTGGAACAGCGCCCGGATAGATCGCTGAAAGGTAGACACAAGCCATTGATAACAACATTGAAAGGGCGCATTATCAAAACGACCAAGTAACTGAGAGCAGGTGATCTTAAAAACGGCAAGCTGAGGAATTCGAAAATTCAGTACAGATAAGACACAATGAAAATAACAAGTATACCAGTCGAAAAATGCAGGTGCGCATACACACTAAAATTGTAATCATATTGGAAAGCAAAACGGGGATAAGATACAGGGGCGATGCCATCAATTTTTCACAAGTGAAAGTGAAAGTACTGACGTGCTGCAAGGGAACAGAAGTATTCCCACCCCGGTACCATCTAGAAAACAAGCAAAGGCGTCCGAAATAGGGAGGCGATCGCATTTCAGAGAGTCGAACACCCTTCGAGTTATTAAACATCATCCCGAGGCCACATCAGAGTTAGCGGAAAGACGGAGGGTTGTTGGATTTACACTATTTTGGTCGCCACGAAATCCAGCAGACAGGTCCATATGCAATTCTTTCCGCGAATGGGTTAATGATGCGTGATTTGCCACACGACTAGACCACTTTGCTCATAACATAGCCGGGCAACCTACTGACCGTCACTCGCTGCATCATGCGGTTAGAAAAACCGGTGGGCATGTGTTCTGCCATACAAGACACGCTAAAACGCCAATGACCAGGGCCGGTCAACCGATTTACCCAAAGGTAATACAGGGGGGATTTTGTGTATCTCAACTACGTCTCACACATTTGCCGTTACCGACAACAAATTGAGAAAACCAAGATTTTCTGCTATCCGCGGCGACAAACGCTTTCCGAAAAGGACACCTGTCGCTTGTACCCACGAAGAAAGACAGTGTTCCGGTTGAAAGACACAAGGATCTCAAGCATGGTTACATAGAACCTCAAGAAAAAAAAACGCTTTTGGGCACAATAAAACAACTAAGACAAGTGTCAAGCCGTCGTGCAAAGGTAATTTCGGGGGAAATGAAACTGTGTGATCTGGGGAGGGAAAGGAAATAGTGCATTGTGTTTCTTCGGAATCACTTGGATACTAGACATACAGGTAGGCATGTTCCTTTCAGCCTGCCTTTTCTTCAGCTGGACGGCCGCACTCATGGACACCCTTATGCCCATCGTATTCCTGCTCTATCGTTATTTCCAGTCCCTTAAAACCTGAGTGCTAAAACGTTTTTTTTTAATCCGCCCAACGTGGCGTTTTGTTGCTTATTGTTGACTTGCATGGGCCCCCCGAAAAGGCACTCTCATTTTTCTGGAAACCGATAGTTTGCAAAGCAAACTTTTTTCAAGGTTTCTGAGGCCGATACGTCCAGTCCAAGGCATGATTTCACCTCGAACGGCTGGGGGTGACGGTGGCATAAGCATAACAAAAAATTTCTCGCGCGCTCGTTCCGAGACAAGGGAACCTATTTTTCTGTTAACTGTTGCTTACTCTTCTATTTTGTAGTGAGAGGCTGACATGTAAAGTCGTACTTTGGTTAAATCTTTCAGAAATAACTGATGACTATAGAACTTCCCACGTAAACAGAAGCAATGAAGTCGATGTGAGCGCTCATCGTTGTGTTATTAAGAGATGAGGGTTCGATGGCGCAGTCACCAACAAAGTCGCCTACATTGGTGAAAAGCAGAGGTTAGAGCATCAGTTCACAACTGAACAGCATTTAACAAATAATTGGCAAATAGAATTCTGAAACGCAATAAGCAAAGAACAGTGAACAAACTCTACATCAGACATTTGAACGCCCTCAAAACCGTGATCTGAGCATTCCCATGGTCAGCCTAGTTAGAATCGATTCTACTGTCATGTGCTAAAAGATGTACTGTGGCTTCAAATATGACACACTCTGTCCACCTTAAGGAAAATAAGGGCAATGCACCGGAATATTGGCACTATGCGCGCCTTTACTGGTAGTTTGCCAGGTGTTCGGTGATATGTCAACCGAGCTTCACAACTAGTTTGCGAAAGTTTCGCCCCAATCGAGGAGACACCATCAATAGATGGTTGGTAGTTATGTCGTCCGGTGTCACTGATGATGTCTTCTCGCCTGGTGACGAAACGTTTGCAAGCCGATTGCCAAGCTCAGATCAACAGTCACACGACCCGCTATCAATAAACGAATGGCACTCCCGTGAAACTTCGAGTTTCCTTACCTGACGACGTCATCAGAGGTGGGATTGAAGATTCCAGTTGGGATAATGGCAATTGAGAAACGGTTATAGATTTGTTTAAATTTTTCTTGCCATGACATTGTGACCCTGAAGGTTCAAATTCGGCGGGTGGAGGCGGGAATATATCAGCTATATTCTCTGCGGATAAGCCCGAAGCGGGGCATGGAGGGAGTTCGTCTTGAACCAGATAATCGCCAACAATTTGATCGGAATCAAATACGATTGGCTTCACTGGAGTAGTTCGACGCGGCGGACGGGGTGCTGTTCGCTTCCTACCTAAAGAGCCAGTCAATGGAAACCGCTCAGGTGGTGCCTCGGAAGCAATGGGTTGTACCGGTAATGTGGATTGTATTTTTGGATTATCACTGCGCAAATTCCGAGTTGGAGTCCATGGGCTGGGTTCACCAACACCGGAGTCTAACTGTCCCTCATCAGAGGCGGGACTACCTGTGACCAGAAAACGACAAGACAACGTAAGAGGAAAACAATGAAACATAATGGCATTGCGTCGAGTATTCTACGGACAAACTACGGGTTGGACAAGAAAAACTGACATTGAGAAACATCCTCAGTGGGAAGGTTCTGTTTGTTCTAGAACAGTAAGCTACAACAATAAGTTAGATTGAACTAGAGGAAGGCAGTCATAGGCAATGATACGTGGTTTCCTTATCTGAGCCCATTTTATGCCGGTAATTAACCCTCTCTGAGATTGAAGAATGGAATATTCCAGAATAGTTACAAAGGATGCCACTCACTTCGGCCATTTGCCGGTCGTCGCTCTTCTAAGAGCCGGTCGAAACTAGTGCTACGTCTGGGAGGTGGTGGACGAGGAGGTAGAGGCGGATGAGGCTGCCCAACATTGGCGGATTTCTTCCTGTCAGGTGTTGCGCAGGACTGATTTGAAGAAAATGAGGATGGCTTCGACACAGACTGTTGGGGTGTTGGTTGAGTTGTACGAGCCAATTCTATCGCCACCTGCTCCTCGATGCTGGCACTCTTTTGCATTGCTTCCAACTGACCTAAGAGTACGCTAAATGTAGGCCGTTGTTCTGGAAGCCATTGCCAACCTGAGGATGGAAAATGGTATAATCACCAAAGGAACTCCGAAAAACGACAAGTCTCAAAAATACATCCTCCTGAAGGTTTGAAAAGCGCACCATTCGGATACACTTTGGACAAATCAGCAACAAAAAGGCTCAGTTGTGCAGCCACGTTGGCATTGAAGAGGTCTTGAAAGGAGATTCTCTAGATAACGAGAGCACTACATACACATTCACAAACATTGTCTAGAAGAGGTAATGGCTAGAGGAAATAACGCTACTAATTTAGATTGAATGTTGAATTGCATGGATGAGTGGTTTATAGGAGACCACTAAGTGTCTCCCTCCAAGCAAGAAACATGCTCGGAAATGTTTGACAAGGAATATCCTACTTGGAAGCAGTAAATACATTTTAGCTCCTTCAATGCCTACATGGTTTGCTACTCTTAGTTTTGTTTGCTAATGTTTCCAATTCAGTCCGAATATAACACTCGTAAATTTTACACAGCACTAGATCACATTTCCCCGTTCTATGGTGTAGCGCTATGAAGGGGACAAATCTTTAATGAATGAACGGATGATAAGGACATGCAGTTGATCGACATTTGCAGGAGTTTCCGTTGGAACCCCGAACTGGAACTCAAACAGACCAATTACAAAGATCAGCTGTTTGTTCTGCATAGTATTTATGGATCCAATATCTCTTAATAACCAGAACAGTCGGCGCCTCAATGTAAAACAACATTGCAGCATTTCAAAGACTCTTGGTGTGATTCGCTGTCAGAAAGTTATATTACCAGCTTCAATTAGGTCAATACTTATAAAACTGTGGGCTCTACTGAGAATTCACAAATTTATTGTCTGGTTACAAGTCCCGAGAATTATACCGAACTACCAAAGTGTTCCCATAGGAAAGTTCCAAAACTGGACATGAAGTTGCTACTTAATTGTGTTCGCCCAACCCCAGTAGACAATTTGGAGTCGAAAAGGGAGAGTCCCTATCGACGGATTTCAAAGCCTTCGAATGGAGCGAGTGCACTAGGAAGTCCCTAGAGATTTAGAGCGCCTTGGTTTCATTACAACTAGCGAAAGTCCATCACTATGCTTTGTATGCTATAGGGAATTAAACCCAGAGAAGTGAATCCTCAAAGAAAACCAGCTTTTCGGGGTCAGGAAATACATTTTGTTGTATCAAAATTCGCAAACGTAGTTCCCCACAATTTCAATGGGATTTCCAAAAAAGCGCACTTCCAAGAAAACAAAATTCAGTTGTACGGTAGAAATATTTCCCATCTGTGATGAACGCTGCCGGATGGCTGCAAACATGGTGAGATTCGAGGGATAAAAGTCGCTCGAAGTAAGATGAGAGCAAGCTGGGTGTCGAAACTCAATCAAACCAGTTGCACCACAGGAACCAGTCGTTTGAACAATTTGATAATACGGAGAATGGACGCCGACTCACGGATACTATGTATTAAAGGAGTTAGAAACTAAAAACGACTTCGCCGACTCACCGATACTATGTATTAAAGGAGTTAGAAACTAAGCACATGAACACAATGTTCAAGAAGATGCTGGTAACAGGTGTTTGACTTCTGTGAAATCCATTGAATATAACCAACAAACGGATATGATACTCATTTTAACATTCACTTACACTGTAGCATCAGCTTGTATATTGGTTCCGGACAGCCTTCCGGCTGGTTCATTCGTGTGCCTTTCTCCAACAGAACATAAACATCTTGCAGTTCGACGCCTGGATAAGGCGTTTTTCCGTAGGTGGCGATTTCCCATAAAAGCACACCAAATGCCCAAACATCGGATTTGGTCGAGAAGAGATTATAAACCAAACCCTCGGGCGCGGTCCATTTAATTGGGAACTTGGCGCCTTCGTGGGCCTGATAGGTCAGATCACGTTCCATGCACCGAGCAAGTCCGAAGTCAGCCACTTTGATTGTTTGCTGCTTGCCCACCAGGCAATTCCGAGCGGCCAAGTCACTGAGGCGAAAAAGAAAACATTGAAGGCCAAGGGTTATGACGGCAGACCTGGTCGAATCAACTGAGGGTGAGAATACGGCAGCAAAGCATCAGTATTGAACACTAATGTCGACTATGAGGAGGAAGAGTCTGAGGCATCCATCCAGAGGGCGGATTTTCCGCAACGCGTTAAGAGAAACTGAGAATCACTGAATGCGAAAGGGAATCAAACGTCCGGAAATAAAGGACAAACAATTTCATGTGTAATTCACCGAGTTTGCTCGCAGGACTTCGAAATCTGGCCAAGTTGTCTCTTGCTGAGGAACGAAAACGAAGAAAACTGACAAGTGGTTACGGCCCACGCCCATCATCTGCATGTTAGCCCAATCGACGACGCTCACAGCAAGGGCCACAAGTGGATGCGACGTTTATGTTAGAACATTTGAGACGTCCAAACAGAAGAGTCGCCTCTAAAATAATGCAACTTAGAAATAAAAAATGCACAGAAAACGGACGACGTTTTCTGGATGGGTTGAAAAAATGGCCGATTCACTGACCTAACATATTGAGGTTGACTGTTCCGGGAAGGAACCATAAATACCCTGAAACCAACATCCCTCTTCGATGTTTATATATTTGGGAGTAAGTAAGTAAAGGATGTGGTCGACAATGTGAGCATGGCCGGTATGTGGTGAAACCCGAGAAATCCATGGAATGAACGTTCAAGAATTCTAAAGTGCCCGGCAACCACCGGGTGATCAGCTGGTGAGACAAAATCGCCTGTCCGAGGGAGTTACAAGACCAGAAAGGTTGATTCCTCACATAATGGCATTTCAGCTGACTAGATGTGAGTGGTCGACAAATGGCCATAAACGAGTCCCCCGTTTTCCGTAAAGCTGGCATCAGTTAGGTTTAAGTTAATGTTGTACATACATGGTATGAAGTGTGCACAGAAACTGGCTAAACATAGTTATCCACACTTACTGGCGGTCCACGGAGTTTTGGGCTATGTAGTGCATAAACATTTTGCTTTTAGAAAATTTTCCTGCATAGTCTATTTCAGGTTGAATGCAGCGCTGAGTTTACCTTTATCTGGAGGGGCAATTTGAAAGAACGGACAAAAATTATTACCTCAAGGAGGGAGGCTTTTCAGGGGAACTGACCGTTCTAAAGCGGATTATACTGGATCAAACCGCATTTTCAGACCATTTCTGTTGTGTTAACAGCAAGAGACTAGAAAACCGAATCTATGCTAGTTCACGACCAATTCACATTTCTGGCTGGCTACCCAGTCCAGACAGTGAAAAGCTGCTACAAATGGGAGAAATAAGAACATATGGTGTGCAGCCGAATCCGGCATTCCAATCTCACTCTGCCTCTAATCGGGGCGGCGGAAGATCTAGTCGGAAGAATGGTGGTGTGACTGAGAAACTAGATCAGGGTGAGGGTGGTTTTCTTATTTTGATTTTTTCTCCGATTATGACCAAATGCACCTGCCGTGTGCTGCAGGTAAACAGCTGCACATCACCAGGGTGTTGCTAGAAACGTGTGCATAACATGAAAATCCATTTAGAAATACCCATGAAGAAGTGCAGTGACCGGCCGGGAATCACAATTCAATAGCTGGTAGGGAGACGTTACGGAAAGTGAACACAATGTTAATTCATTCCTCACTAACCTATACACCATGTAGCAAGCCGCGAGACAATAGCTACTAATCTAAGGATACCGAGTGTTGGATCAGTTCCCGCGGCAGTTTCGGACATGTCACGTCCAAAAAACATATAAATCGCGTTATTTTCCATTTCTGAAATCGAACCAAAAACTGATGACATTTCCTAGGAAAGATGTTCAGGAAAAACACTCCGACATTCAATTCGGACCATCCAAGTGCGCCAGACACTGGGATGGTGATTTCCGTGAAACCAACTTGAACTTGCTAGCTTGGGCTATTTTCGCGCACCCCCTGACCTCAGCACAGATCGACCGAAGTGACTCAACACACAACAGATGTAACACACTTACATCCTATATGCACGATTCAAGCCACGACAGACTAGGGTTTCGACCAAAAAGCAGGTGCAATATTTTATCTAAACACCACGTGTTAACCGATAAACCGGTTTGCGGTTGGCTGCCGATCCACGTCTTCTTGGAGGAAAAATCCTCCAGTACGCGAGTTGAATCTCATCAGACACAAAGCAGAAGCCCAGAGTTCTACCTCTATCAGAAACGTTTCCGCTATCTAAGTGGAGAATGTCATATTTAACCTCAAGTTGGGCATCAACCCTTGTTCGTGTTCACCGTTTAGAAAAGCGGTTTCAAACCAGAAGAGATTCCCATCGGAGGATAATGATGTCCTAAGGTGGGAACATTCACGCGTACAGAATTTTAGTACCGATTCTCATAAAGGAACTTACTCACAAGGTTGCTGAAAACTCTTCGACAGCCCACGACCGGTTTCGCCCTTCTTGGGGCTCATCAGGTAGGCCCAATCCTCTAGTTTCCGTCAACCTTATGTTCTACTTGGATCCAAATTGAACTGTAGAAGAGTTTTCAGCAACCGTGCGATATCTCGAATATCGCGCCAACTGAAAATAAGGCGGCCTGTGTGCAGCACATTCAGTTGTAGAATATCATAAACGAGAGATTCAGTTGAGCCTCCCATGAAAACCAAATTGATTTGCAAATGAGCGTGTCGCTCGAGTACCGATTCTCCTTTTTTGTTCCTACTGAGTACAACAGGGTTTCCCGTTTCATTGTTTCCGTGATGTCCATATCCTCTTTTCTTATTTTTCAACCTGAAAGTTAGCTGAAATTGGACACTCACCAACCTGTTACCCACTGTTTTACCTAACCCACCTAGTTCAATATCGCTATAACGTTATATTATGAACCTGGTGACTTGAACTGATGCAAAATTCGGGGTATGAAATCCGTATTGTTTACCACCTACTACATCTTTATGGGATCACAGCTATTGATCCGTGTTACGTAATGCGATGTACAGAAGCCAGTTTGTACGGGTTCTAGCACTTCATTTTTATGTTCCAAGTACTGCATTCGACCGATTCGACCTTTGGGGTCTTGCGTTCAGCTTAGTGTGGCCCACCCGATTTTCGGATGTAATCAATAATTGGCTGAACTGTAATTGCTACTAAAACCGAAGCACAATGCACACGTTCATTCAATTACTGATGTGCCCAGTCAAACTGTGAATGAGTGAGGACGGTATACCCATGCCGAAATGGACCGTTTCAGCTAGACAACTGAGTCTGTACTTATAGCTCTCTGTGCTACCGTATCGTGACAATTTGAAATCTTCCAAGATCTACGAACGCGGAACACATGAGAAATGGACCGAGCTAGACAACTGAGTCTGTACTTATAGCTCTCTGTGCTACCGTATCGTGACAATTTGAAATCTTCCAAGATCTACGAACGAACGACACATGAGTAATAAGGTAGATAGATCTACATAATCCTCGACTATCAAAGTATCTATGCCAACTAATTGTAGTCTCCGAACAGCACCACCTACGAACACCTCAAACGTGGACTCTGCCTGTTAAACAGAAACGAGAAAAACCTCAATGTACGCTGACATTGACTGGGACGTTTCTGTCAGACTTTATCGGCCCAACTATCCTCCCATGATTAGAAGCTTGGGCTCAGATGCGAGATGGCTTTGCCAAACCAGATTAATATAAATTTTTTAGCGGAAGCCGACACGAAAACTACAGCAGAACTAATAGCCTATACCAATACAAAGTCCTTAAACTTAGTTTTGCTTTCTCAGATTGCAAGGTAATCTAAACAATCTACGCGCCAGTCAATCGTGGAGACGATGAAAGCAGACCAATCAATAAAAACGACAAGTTTAATATCCTGTACTGATTAAAGCTCAGACCACCGAAGTCTGATACTACTTTGAGAAAGCTGTGTGTATTGGCACGCAGCGGCTGGAAACAATGTGCCTATGGCACAAGAATTATTGCTGATAAATTGATTGATTGACTTGATCCATAGAGAAACGCTGGAGGCAAATAAGTACTGGTTCGACCACCGATTTGATTCCTAACAGTCTGGTATTGTGGCTCAAAGGTGAGGGAGCATCGGGGACAGTCCACCGAACACACGTACACCGTGTGTTCCAATCATCATCATCATCATCATCAACGACAGCATGACATCAGTGCTCAACACCAATGCTTCACTGCCGTACAGCCATGACTTATTTGAAAGCCTTATTGTAAAGAAAAGAATAAAGGTGGATGGGGGAGGGACTTAGTGCTAGCTTAACACAATCATTCCGAGGTGCCTACACCTCCAGACATTCACTCAGGCAATCGGGATAGAAACTGACAACAAGAACGCCACTGACATCGGGTGCCAGCCATATCTTGTAGTGTCTCCAACAAGGTACAGTGAGGATCACGTCGTCCCCACCCTGGAAAGCGAGTAGCACCGACAGCATCCAAGCGTTTCGTAATCTCCTTCATACCCCTCTGTCAAGTCAAGGGTTGGCCACATCTCTGTTTACGCCAATCTGAGTTGGGCATGGAAAACAACACTCTCTTCGGCAAACGGTGTGCATAGGGCACGTCCCAATCAACGCACCTTCTGGTGCTGGAGAGATTCTTCAATGGAAGTACCCGTTTAACAACCGAACACCCGCTTACTAATTGCCTTTTCACGGATACGCCGATACCAACCCACACGAGCTATGGTTCTGAGACAACGATTGTCGAACACCTGAAGACGTCTCAGGTCCGCTGCTCGAATAGGCCAAGTCTCACAGCCATACAACAAAACAGCCCGTACTGTAGCTTGATACACACGTCCCTTCAGATTCAGGGATAAACCATTCTGACGCCATAGGTGTCTCAAGTTAGCAAACGCGGCCCGAGCCTTGCAGATTCGTGCATTCACCTCATCTGTCACACTGCAATCAGAACTAATACAACTTCCAAGGTTGAGAAACAGGACTCGAAGATACACTTGGAATATGGAAAAAACGAACGGAAATGTTACACAACAGAGCCGATATTGATCGCCAAGTGGGTGGGAACTCTGCCCATAATTCAACCCACTTGTCCTTTGCCCGTTTGATAAGTCGGAATGAATAGTTGACCCGGAAAACATTCTTCCTCTTACATTGGGGTTATCATGTGTCCGGGTTAGGAAAGTGCCCCTACATTCATGCGCAAACACCTATGAAGGAGTGCCGACAAATCCGGGAATAGCCATATTTCTAGCGCCATAAGACACAAAAGAAATAGTGTGACAAGGTTTACAATGGATCTTCGATGAAAAAGACAACCGACTGGCATGTTTCTACTCTGATCTAGTCAACAATAAACAATAACTTCCAATACCACTTAGGATATTCACTCTCATCTGTTCCACTTATTCTAGTGCTATTGACTCACTACTAGCACACAGTTAGATGTCGCTCCACCGAATTTG